AAAGGTTAGATGAAGATCCTGTCAAACAAAATGATTATCCAACTTAACTACTATCTAATCTTTTTGTTTAGCTGGCAACGCATAAGTTATTTGAAAAAAACTACAGTCATCAGCGATGACGGGTCAGTCGATCGTCATACACCTCAACTGTTAAATCTGTTACTAAAATATATTATTGATGACTGTTTGACGAGAATCTGTCAGCAACTTATGATGTATGACGCACTGAATGACTCAGTTATTTTTATGTACATGTCTTGATAAAAAATAATTATACATAAAAAGAAATACGCAGTCGTTATTAGTCATTCTCAATGATAACCGAACTTTATGTTGACGAATTTATATTCAAGGACAGACCTTATGGGGGGCATGTGAAGCGTAACATTCTTTGACGTCTGAAATTCGTCTAGACAATGTTTCTTGTACTATTGAAAAATTGCCTACATAGTGCCTCTTTACCTAGGGTTCAATGACGAAGCACCCTGCCCCATCTTTTGCCCTCAGTACTAACTGACGCCTTTATCTGTTTTAATTGCAAGTTTTAACAAACTTGAAATTCATATTCTTTTTGTTCTGCTTATGATTTGTGTCAGATTCTTTTTTTTTTTTATCAACGATGAACATAAAAAAGTGTATCATTGGAATATTAAGAAATGGTTCTTGATCTTTAATTTTTTTTTGAAAGTCCTGATATATTTTCTTTCGTTTGAACAACATTAATATTAAATTGTCTTACTTATTAATAAATTTTTTTTCTTAATCTTAACTCTATTTATGCATTAATCTTTGTCATATACATTATTAAAAAATATTGAATAATAATGTTCTAAAGATAGAACTTTCTGAAATATTTGGTTCATGAACCTGTTTTGGTACAAGTTTGACCAATATGTATATATCTTGAGTATTATATGGTTTAATAAATGAAAGAAGTTTCTTCTAGTATGCATTAATCGTGCGGATAGGATTGACATCATTATAGTAGATAAATGACAAAAAAAAAAAGAGCAATAGCTTTTTCGACATCAAATCAAATTTGTACCAAAACAAGTCAATTTAGTTAATGTCCAATCTATTGAAGATTATTATTCAATATATCTTAATAAAATACATGACGAAGATTGAGAGACTAAATGAGTGTTTCAATTATAAAGAAAAATTTATCAAACACTGAAACAAATTGTCATTAATATTGTCCAAACGATAACAAAAGGGCTTTCAAACTAAATTAAAGATAAACAAATATTTTTGATACATTGATTATATAATTCTCTAGTTTAATTACGTGTATCACAGCTACTAAAAGACCAGCTGATGTTTCTGATTTTTCAAACACATTTAATTTTATAACTCTGTATTCATGTTTCATTTTACTGTTAATTGTTTATTTAATTTATTTCTATAAAGTGAAATTAAGAAAAATTTTTTGTGCAGAATATCACGTCAAAATCAAGAAACAGTTTTCATAATTATTTTTCATGCCAAAAAATAGTTTGAATTAACACGATGTCTTTGATTAGATCAAAAATGGTTTCGCATAATCGAAAAAAAAAATGTAATCATGATGGAAAAGAATAAGATACAATCAGTCATACGGCATGGGCGTAATAGAAAATGTGTCACGAAAATATATGGAATATGTGATACTTATAATAACTGACAAGAACAGTTACATCTGACAATCATTTCTTACAATAGTATGAAGGCCAAGTTTTCTATTTAACTGTTTTGGATCTAAACAAGTTTGTCTGTCAATCAATATAAACCTTACAAAACTCAATTTACGTTTAATTTATACATTTGTTACTAAAATCAAATGAATTTGTTGACATAGTATCGAATAATAAGGTAATGCAGTAATATTTGATTTCCAAAACCGAAGAGTCAAGTCAAGAACTATGCTCTGAACTGGGTAGCTAGAAGCTCCAGTATGTATATTTCATGTAAGAGAAAAACAGACACAAACCATAAGTAGAACAAGAGACATATGAATTTCAGTTTTTTTACAAAAAATACTTCTTGACCATCCGTTCATTATTTCTGAAACATGGTCGGATAGAAAGAATTGATACATTATTAAAATAGACTCGGTTTTTGTTGCATATTCATGTGAGATATGAAGGGTAAGTTTTTTTCGTATCGTAACTGAGAAAATTATCTTACTATTATTCTATCCTACAGAACATCTCTCCAGCTGGAGGAAATTGATAAAAAAAAAAGGGCTTTTATCTAAGACCGGTATGGAAATCAACTAAATCTCTTAAGAATAAATTCGGTTTAACACACTAGAGATTGTTTAAATTGTAAGTTTTATTCTTTGGTATTCACTGTACAAATTGTTATGTTTTCGGAATCGAATTGTTGCCTTTTCAAGGTCTATGTCGTCTAGAAGAAGTTGAAGTCAATCTTGATTCTGAATTTTTCCACTTTTGTAAAGCTCTGAGGAGACATAAATCGAGCCTCTAACCTACAGTAATTTGTACAATGAACATCAAAGAATAAAAATCACCATTCAAACAACTTTTAGTATTCAATCTATATTGCCGATAGACAATGTATAGAGCTTCGACCGCTTCTAAAAACGACGCCAATACAAATCTCTAGTTTCTACATCTAAAAATAAGCCCTTATCTGACTGAGTGTTCCCACCTTATTCTACAATGTTTTTATCTCACTCTCTCTTAATGCTACGCTAATTGGAAGACTCTATAAGTGATAAATACCACAAATAATATCACGATACAGATGTGCAAGCAGGATAAAATGTGACTTTCTTGTACACAAACGGATTTCTTTACTTAGAAATAATTGGATATGACGTAGACAAGCATTTTTAAGGAAAAAAAGGTTTTTTTTGAAAATAAAAAGTCTTTCGACAAAATTCATGCAGCCTAATGTATTGATTTCAAATAAAGTGATTTCTTTCAATTAAATATTTTTCTAAAACCAAAAAAACTGCAAAGCCTAAGCTTTTTAGCAACCCCCTGTACACTTTAGGAATGTTTGCGCTAACAGACATTAGAAATAGTATAGATAGAAGAACATTCTGATAAAGTTGAAAAATATGTTTAGACGTTCGATTAGATTGCTCATTTGACGGGACTGGTCGTTCAGACGACACTAGAAAAATATTTTGTACCATTGTATAGAGCTCAACTTGAAGATTGATAAAATGTACTTGATTTGTCTACCGAACAGCTTAACTCAAGTCAGATATCAATACTACAGGTGATATCTCGATTTGTAGACTAATTTTTGGGCAACTAGTTTTCCAATTTCCTGAAGAGTTGTAACCAAGTTATTTTTATCATTAGCTAGACTATATGTCAAAGTCAGGGGTCGCAGTGGCCTAGTATGCAAAATCAAGAATTAGGACAGGAATTTTCAAGAAAAAAATCAGGATTTGACCGAATAAATCAGGATTCTCAAAACATAGGCACTATTCATCGAAAGTGCACATCATTTCGCAATAGGAATTACGAAATGTCAAATGGCATTCATTCTCTACTCTATTCCAGCAGTTGACAACATTCTTAAAATAGAAAATCGTCCTCCCATTGCCTCAGTGTTTCGAGAGCATAACAAACACGTAACATAGCTAGCTTAACTCTTATTGAAACAAATAAACAAAGTGCGAAATAACAAAACAAAAACGCTAAAACATTGTGATGATTTCCAGCTCGTCGATAGGCAATTGTAAAATCAACATATATTTCGTTCTAGAAGGTCGAGTGTTAACAGAAATCGTCAATTTCAAGCAGACATTGTTGGAACATCGTCATGATGTCCCAACGATGTTCTTTGAACTAGCCTAGAATAACCCTAAGTTGGCTCGCTTGCCTGAGCCTTTAGGACTGAGTTATAACCACTTTATTGGATTTTAGTCCTATGAGGTCAGGTTATCTGCAACAGCAAATATGCGCATTTCGACGTGAAATTTTGTCTATAAATAAATCTAATGTCCACTAAGATACCTTAAAAGTTTCAGACAAAACGAATGCATCCTTCTTAAGATGTTGAATATCCAAATATTCGCATTTTTGTGAATTTTTTTTTTGAGAAATAGACGGTTTTTTGAAAACTAATTATCTCAAGGATGCATTCGTTTTGTCTCAACCTCTTAAGGTATCCTCGTGGCCATTAGATTTATTTATAGAAAAAGTTTCAGGACGAAATCCACATATTTGCTGTTCCAGATAACCTAGTATCATAAGTCCAGATTCCATGATAAATCAAGCCCAAATGGCCAGGCAAGTAAGCCAACTTAAGGTTATGCTAATCCAGTGGTCCCAAGATATAGCCAAAATATCAGGTCAAAACCAAGGGGACATCTTGAGAAGTTCATTCGTGAGATTCGTCGATGGCAATCCAACAAAGAGAGTTGATTATTCATCGGACTCTCGACTTCCAGATCTACTAACTAACTAACTTGTGCCTGTCTTTTCTTTTTTTTTTCTTACTGAATAATGATACAAGATTTTGTATGAATCTTGTAAAAAAAAGAAAAGATGAATTTTTTTATGTATTCACCGACATTTTTCAGTTCATAAAGAACTTTATCTATTCTTCAAACAAGATGAACAACGCGATCATTGAAAAAATAGTATCATCATCAATTCAAGACAGAATTTCTGAAACGCCTCCACTGAGACTAAACCGAAATTTTCTAGAGAAATTATTTAGTTTCGAAAAGCACCAAAAATCAAGAAATCAGGACCGCTGCGAGGCCTGCAAAGTATAGTTCTCCATATTTAAATTTTGAAAAGTGCGATTTTTATTTCTAGTTCAATGTCTACCTAGATACACACATTGAGGGGTCATTCTCCTGCGCATCTCAAATATTTTGTGTCATAGTTTAACAATTTATAGGACAGAATAATGATCATATGTAAAGAGAAAAAAAAATACTTAAAACACATGTTTAATAAATTTGAATACGATGAAAATTATCTCGAATGATTTTATTTTTTTTCGTTAATTAAATATTTAATTTCTACTTACCGTCGTTTTGATCGTGATCTTGTTCGTCGACGATGTTGATCTCGTCGTCGTCGTCGTTCACTATCATGTTTTCGTCTTGAATGACGATGTCGTGAATTGGTTCGTCGAGTAGAATCATCTGATCGAGATGAAGATGATGATGTCGTAGATGAAGATGATGATGACATTGATGAAGATGTCGATCTTGATCGACTATTTTTTTGTCTATCACTTGAACTGTTCGTGTCATTATTTATTGATGAACGTCGACGAGATTTATGATAATATGATGAACGTGAATGTTCATCATCCGTACAACGATCAGATGAATGACGTCGTTTATGACGCGTCATTGTTTTTTTTTTTTTTATAATAACAATAATCTTGAATAAGAGTTTTATTGAACAAAAAAAGAAAACAAAATAATATCCATATTTGTCTTCGTCATCTTTTCTGTCGACTGATAATCATTAGCTAAAATAAATATAACAACCCAAATGAATGTTTAATAACAACAAAACAAAAAAAAGGAACAACGACACGTCAACCGTTGAGATAAGAGAATAGAAACTAACATACAATTATAAATATCAGTCTGAAATATATGAGTCAGAAAACAAGAAGAAACAACAGAAATAATCGAAAAATTTATATATCAATTATGGTGTTGTTTTTTTGTTTGTTTTATTATTACAAATAAGTAATTATCGTTAACATAAGAAAACAAAAAAAAAGCTTTAGATAAAATGAAAAAAAGAAAAAAAAGCTACAGTAAGAATCCTCTAATGGTCACCAAGTACATGACCACGGCCACCAAATACTTGTCGACCACGGTTTCCATCATTATCTTCTGCACCTGGTTGACGACGAGGTATTGGTGCTGTACCAAAACCACTTATACCTGTTTGTTCATTTGGAAAATAACGATACCTACGAATAAATAAATAAATAAATACAATACATACCATAAAAATGAATAATAAATTTTATTCCTATTTTAATATACTCCAAAGTATACATACAGAAAATTTGGTGTTTGTATTAAACGTGGACCACCAAAATCTTGTGGATATTTAAATACAAGAAAGAAATATAAATGACCAACAACAATGCCACATAATTGCGTTATAAATCTAAATAAATTTTATTTAATAAAATTTCTGTTATACAAAAAATTTAGGGATGTGCAGTTTCAGTAAAAACACTTCTCTATTGTAAACACTGTCAAAATGATATAAAAGTGTTTAGTGTAGATAGTTGACACAGAGTTTGCTATGAAATGAATCAAATGATTTTAGAATATCAATTTCTACATTAATCTTAGATAAAAGTTTAGAATCGAAAGATTTTTCAATAACAGAATAAAATTTTATTTAAAAACAAATCGTCTAACATTGTTTTTTAATTAATATAAATATCAATTTCATACAGGTTCTAATTCATTAATTAATCGATATTATGTTTGGTGGTAATTCTATTAACATATGATAATTATCATCATCAACGTCACCATCTTATCCATTAACACTCTCTGTTGTAAAAACGTTCACACTTATCGTACTATTCATTGTAGGCAGGTATATCTTTATCTGAATCAATAACTCTCATACATAAAATGTACTTACTCATAATAAATAAGAAACAGGTCAAAAAGAACACCATTTTACATATGTTCTATGCTCACATTAAAGTACCGGTATCGACAGCGAGTCTACTAATACACTAGATGAATGCTCATTCAAGCGTTGACAGACCCATACACTATGGATATGTGCAGGTAGATTTAGAATTTAGTTCAGATTGGAAAAATGTTTTGTAATAAAAAAATATCGTAAGTGTATAAACAAAAAAACTCATTGATTCTTAGTATGATTTAATTAGATGTTGAAGTTTATTTGATATCACAGATGTGCTTAGATTGTTATTCTATTCATAAATAATAAAAAAAGTTGACTAAATTTATTTGATTCAATTGAATACATATATGTATATATCTCGACAGTATAATTTCTTTGGAAGTATTTAATTAGATGAATGTGGAATTGATGTAGACGATTTTTCAAAGTAAAGGGGGTCTTATAATTATAATATTAGAGCATAATGAATAGTTGTAAAAACTAATGCAACTGAAAGTTAAATTTTGAAGTGGATTTCCTGATAACACAATAAAAGGAAAAAACTGCAGGAAAAACATTAAAATTTTTTTACTTAGTGTTTAATATATCTTTACTAGATGACCTTGTGTCTAGATCAATGAGTTCATCTTTTTAATAGAACATTATTCTTATTATAAATTTCTTAAAGCTGATTCGTACATTCTAAACTTAACTGAATTCTCATGTCAATAATAAAATAGGTATATCAATGTGAGTTTTCGATGAATAGTTAACTGAAATCGCACATCCCTAGGAAAACTTAATTACATACGATCCTGAAATAATCCAACTGAATAACATAATAACCCATGGCATATACATTGCTTTAAATTGCATACCAAACCAAAATGACAGTATAACTTCTTTATTTAATTGACACCAAATATACATCACACTAAAAATCATAGTTTCCATTAATATCTTTTAAATAAATAAACAAATTATTTTCTTTTTTTTTTCTTGTTGATTATTTTTAAATTAATATTTACTTACAGGTAGTGATAGGATAGCACCAACTATGAGGTTACATATCCAAAGAAAAAATAAACAGAATATATAATCAGCTGGTTTCCCATTGAAAGTACCTTTATAAAAAAAAAAAAAAACAAATAGAAATAAATAAAATGAGCTTGTTTTTAATTTATACTTGTTTCAAGACGTGAACTATATTGATAAAGAAAATAGAGACTAATTAAATAATTGAAATTCATAGGAAGAAAGAGTACAGCTGTAATTAATCGCCAGATCTAGAAAGTAGAAATTTTTTTCTATATAAAACAAAAACAAAAAAAAATATTAACTTACTTGAAAATGGTGAATAATCGGTTGTATGAATAGAACAAGATTTTGAGGTCGAACTAAACCAAGACGTGCTGCAGCGGGTACTATAATAGAACCTGTAAACCATACACGAGTTATTGGTGGAATACTTTTGTACCATTGACCAAGATCATTTGAACCAGCCATTATTATTATGATTTTAAAAACCGATGGATATGATGAGAGTAACGTAAAGCAAGGATTTAGTTTGAGAATGTTTTACCTAAGTTTTTTTTTTGCTATTGCGACAATTACAAAGAATGAAAGAAAGAAAATATCATCATGATTAGTCACTAAAAATAAACCATTCAGAATTTGACTTATCAATATTTGTCATCATAGATATTGGAAAAAAATTTTCTTAAAAACAATATTAATACATATGAAAAAATTTAACTTAATAAAATTAGCTTTTTTGGTAATATTAATTGGCAAACATGTACTGACATCTTCCGTTGGAATTTCGCTCAGAAAGTAGAGTTTTGTGAGAGACTCGTTGTTTAAGTTCTGAATTTCGTTTGATTTTCAAAATTTCAGATACCAAAAAATTCCGAGATAGTTCTGAATATCTTGCAGGATCGGGCTAATATACTGATCCGATCGGTAAAGGAAGGAGAGAGGGGTTGTCGAGGATGTAACATCCTCAATTATGGAAAATTTCTATTTTTTCTAGAAAGATCGAAATTCTCTTTTTGCATTTTGCTCAAAAACAAAAATATTCTCCTATTGCAAAAAATTCGGGATATGACCTTCTTTTATCTACATTAGCTCTTTTGGATCACCATTGGATGAGACAAATGATATCTTTTCAGTAGTGTTTAGATTTCAAGAAAAATAAATTTCTACTCATGAAAAATCATATATCAGAAACTACTTGCACATAGAAAAATCGTGTAACATACTTTTCATCAACGTAATCGAGATCGGCTGCTAAAAACATACTCAAGTTTCTAAGAAATTTCGATGTTTGCCCTTACACAACTGAAAAATTCTAGACAAATTCCAAAGCTCATGATGTACTATTGAATAACTTGTGGATGATTTCGATAATGAGAAAATCGCAAAAAAAAATTCTCAACATTTTCAGAAAACTTACACATTAAAGAAAAATATGACATTTCTGCTGAAAAACTTCCGTAGATATGAGTATGGTCATATATATGCATATACATTCTGGATAAATATCGATGTGTTTTCCCTACAAAGAGCAACAGTCTACCCATCAAAATTATGTTAATTCTAGTGACTCTATAGAAATTTTGGGACTTAGTAGGAAATTTCAATGAATAGAGAAATGACGAAATATTTTCCAACGTATACATATCAATGTACTTTACTACTGAGAGGAAGATGCTACTTATTATAGTGCTGTTAATTTCTGAAATTTTTAATAATCTTTAAAATGACTAATATTTTAGAAGGTAGAATCCTTTTTTTTTATATGGAGTCACAGTCATATCTATGTTGAATAATAATAGTAGTAATTCCAGTATTTACTGAACTTTGTCAAAATCGTTCGATTTGTGGTAGATTCATTTTAAGTGTTTTTTGTATTTTCAGAAGTTTCCTAATAGTGTTTGTTGTTAGTTTCTGAAAAAAGGGAAAGATTTCTTGTTGGTAGTATGGTAATTGTTGAAACCATCTGGAAATAGATTCGTCAAGGTTGCGTTATTTCATAATGTACTCGAAAATGTCTTATTAATATTTGAGAAGGTTTCGTAATTTTTGGTTAATTTGCTTCATCTGTATAGTAGGTTTTGGTAAATACTGTGAAGTTACAAGTATATTTTTGTATCGCTTTCTCTAACAGTATCTTTTGCTGTGTCAAAAATTTTCATAACTTTTCAAATTTCGTTTTTTTTAAAAATCTGAACATGCGTCAATAGGTATCAAATATATGCTACTGTAAGAAACAACTGAACATGATCAAATCGCTAGAGCAGTTTCTTTTTACATAGATTTTAAAAGCTTTTCGTAAATAGGAAAGTATTATCGAGTATATTTTGAATATAACTATACATTGAACTTGGACTATTCGTGAATAAAAGATAAAATGATGATTTGAAGAGACAATAATTTTCTTTAACCTTCTGTGTTTTAAATACTTTGTTACGTTGTTATATGTCAAACTCGGATGAAAACTGACAATGGTTAACAGTGACTATTTACAGCAATCATAAACGATGTTTTAAGATGTATTTAGGACCATTGTATACAATGACTGTAACAATAAAGTGTCAGTAAACGATACTCCACTAATATTCTAAGTCATCGCATACATCAGTTGTAAAACAGTTTATATACAGTCATGGTTTTCCATTTTATTTACTTCGAAACAGTCCCTAACGTCCACGATCGCCACTGATTTAACAGACTAT